TCCCCTGGAGCCCCCAGGAACCAGCCCTGCAAGACCCATGTCAGGCTGCTGACTTTCAGAACGTTAAGGGAATACATCTGTGTTATTTTTAAGACTCAAAATGTGTGGTCATTTGTTAGAGCAACCATAGGACAGTTATATAGTTACCATGGTCTTCTATCCAGAAATTCTTAAAATATTTTTATTAAAATAAATTTTTGTTGAATTAGAGTTGATTTGCCATTTTATACTAGCTTTGAGTGTGCAACATAGCCATTCAATAGTTTTATAGGTTGTACTCCATTCAAAGTTATTACAGATAATGGCTATATTCCTCTGAGCTCTGTCTATAATATACCCTTATGCTTGCTTATTAATATTTTATACATAGGAGTTTGAATGTCTTATCTTAATCCCATATCCCTTTCCCCATCTGATTACCATCAGTTTGTTCTATCTGTGAGTTTGGTTCTGTTTTGCTGTATACATTTGTTTTATTTTTTGAGGTTCCACCTGTAAGTGATCGCGTAGAGCATTTGTGTTTCTCTGCCTGACTTATTTCTCTAAATATTACTCTTTAGGTCTATTCACATTGTTTCAAATGTAGAAATTGAGTGGTAAAAGGGAGGTCAGACATCTGATGTCTGACTGGTTAGAAGAGAAAAATACACAACTGAAAAAGCAGGGAGATTTGCATCAAGGAGCAAATAATAGCATAGGAGAGAAACAGTTGAGAATAAGAGGTTCCTTCCCATCTGGTACTGGTAATCTGGGGGAACTCCCAGGAGGAAGCGGGAAGGTGGCTGGGCCCTTGACATGTGCATCTGATGTCTTGTAAACACATTGTGGTATCTTGGTAAAAAAAAAAACATCTCTCTTGCCCAATGATCCTCTGACCCTTAGACGCTGAGCCTTCCATCTGATCTCCTGCCCTCTCCTCTTCCCACGTCACAGTGGCTCCTGCTGTTGGCTTTCATGTTTGGAAGCTGCTTCTGTCTCCCCTGTGACTCTGATTAGATAGGATGGCATGTGAGGTCCCTCTTAATTTCCCGTCTGTGCCACACAAGCCTCCACTCTCCCCAGCCTCCACCTGTACTACCCCACATCAATTGATGGGCTGTGTAAGTGCTGACTAACATGGTTATTAGAAGTATGAATTATTTAAGGAGGTGTGCACATCATTAACCTGTTGTTCATGGGGGAAGTCTTGACAGGCATATTAACCTTAAGCACAGCACAGTTTTACTTGTGGGAAGGAGGAGGGAGGAGGGGTGGGGGTGGTACAGAGAACTGGCTGTATTGTGCAGCATTGGAAAGAGTTGCCCTGAGAAAAGAGGCAGATTAAAAAAAAAAAAGCTGAACATCTTCTGAGAACGGAGTATTTTTGGCTCCGGGACACTATGAATTGGAAATGCAGGAGAATTAGCACGTCACACTTTCAGAGGCATCTGTGAGCGTATGTACCAATATGATCACTGTAATTATAATAATAATAAATGTTCTGTTGTGCTGTGACTTATGGAGGTCACCCTGAGATGAGAGAGAAAGAGAAGAGGGGGGATGGAAGAGAGGGAAGTTATTAATAAACCTTAGCCCCAGCCCCCCATGTTCTCACCTCTTTCCCACACTGAACCCTTCCCTGCAGAGTCCCCTCATCCAGACGGGTGACATGAGCCCGCTGGATCTAGAGACATGAGCTCTCGGTCACTGATCTTCTTTCCAAAGGGGCTGTTTCGTTAGATGAGGAGTCCTGTTCTGGCTCTGGTCCTTGTTTGGATCTGGAAGGGCTTCTGAGCCCAAAGCAGATTTTCCTTTTGTGGGGTAAAGAGATTTGAAACTGGATCTCTGGGTGTGATGGAGATGAGAACCATCTCTGCTGGAATCTGCTGCACTCAGGCTCTGAAACCAGTTACCTCGAGGGGCAGGCCAGGTCAGAGCCTGCTGAGATGGCATCAACCTGGGTTGCTTGTGGCTTTTGTCAGTCATCAAACGTTTGCTAAATGTCTGCTGGTTGATCTTCATCTTATGGGATCACAGAAGTGTCAAATAAGACTTCTGTTCAGGAGCTCACTGCCTTCTTAGGGAGAGAATAATAGCATACTATTGATTTGCATCAAGGAGCAAATAATAGCATAGGAGAGAAACAGTTGAGAATAAGAGGTTCCTTCCCATCTGGTACTGGTAATCTGGGGGAACTCCCAGGAGGAAGCGGGAAGGTGGCTGGGCCCTTGACATGTGCATCTGATGTCTTGTAAACACATTGTGGTATCTTGGTAAAAAAAAAAACATCTCTCTTGCCCAATGATCCTCTGACCCTTAGACGCTGAGCCTTCCATCTGATCTCCTGCCCTCTCCTCTTCCCACGTCACAGTGGCTCCTGCTGTTGGCTTTCATGTTTGGAAGCTGCTTCTGTCTCCCCTGTGACTCTGATTAGATAGGATGGCATGTGAGGTCCCTCTTAATTTCCCGTCTGTGCCACACAAGCCTCCACTCTCCCCAGCCTCCACCTGTACTACCCCACATCAATTGATGGGCTGTGTAAGTGCTGACTAACATGGTTATTAGAAGTATGAATTATTTAAGGAGGTGTGCACATCATTAACCTGTTGTTCATGGGGGAAGTCTTGACAGGCATATTAACCTTAAGCACAGCACAGTTTTACTTGTGGGAAGGAGGAGGGAGGAGGGGTGGGGGTGGTACAGAGAACTGGCTGTATTGTGCAGCATTGGAAAGAGTTGCCCTGAGAAAAGAGGCAGATTAAAAAAAAAAAAGCTGAACATCTTCTGAGAACGGAGTATTTTTGGCTCCGGGACACTATGAATTGGAAATGCAGGAGAATTAGCACGTCACACTTTCAGAGGCATCTGTGAGCGTATGTACCAATATGATCACTGTAATTATAATAATAATAAATGTTCTGTTGTGCTGTGACTTATGGAGGTCACCCTGAGATGAGAGAGAAAGAGAAGAGGGGGGATGGAAGAGAGGGAAGTTATTAATAAACCTTAGCCCCAGCCCCCCATGTTCTCACCTCTTTCCCACACTGAACCCTTCCCTGCAGAGTCCCCTCATCCAGACGGGTGACATGAGCCCGCTGGATCTAGAGACATGAGCTCTCGGTCACTGATCTTCTTTCCAAAGGGGCTGTTTCGTTAGATGAGGAGTCCTGTTCTGGCTCTGGTCCTTGTTTGGATCTGGAAGGGCTTCTGAGCCCAAAGCAGACTTTCCTTTTGTGGGGTAAAGAGATTTGAAACTGGATCTCTGGGTGTGATGGAGAGGAGAACCATCTCTGCTGGAATCTGCTGCACTCAGGCTCTGAAACCAGTTACCTCGAGGGGCAGGCCAGGTCAGAGCCTGCTGAGATGGCATCAACCTGGGTTGCTTGTGGCTTTTGTCAGTCATCAAACGTTTGCTAAATGTCTGCTGGTTGATCTTCATCTTATGGGATCACAGAAGTGTCAAATAAGACTTCTGTTCAGGAGCTCACTGCCTTCTTAGGGAGAGAATAATAGCATACTATAGAATATAGAATATTACTGTTACTGTTACCAGTACTGCTAGGAAATATATTGTTCTCTAATATCTAGAGCAGTTTATAATTTTTATGAGATACATTACATAGCTTTCTCTTATGTGCATACCACTGTTAGTTGGACTTCCCTGGTGGCTCAGTGGTAAAGAATCCTGCCAATGCAGGAGACTTGGGTTTGATTCCTGGGTCAGGAAGATCCCCTGGAGAAGGAAATGGCAACCCTCTCCAGTATTCTTGCCTGGAAAAATCCTATGGACAGAGGAGACTGGCAGGCTCCAGTCCACGGTGTTGAAAGAATCAGGCACAACTTAGCAACCGAACAACAGCAACAACCACTATTAGTAGCAATGAATGGAGAGCACTCTTATACCAGTGAGACATATTTTGGACATAAAATGAGTCTCATTGGGGATTACAGAGCAGAGAGCTCTAGAAGCAGATGTGATAATACTAATATCTAATGTCTGCAAGATGTTTTATAGCTCATGTTTGTTCAGTTGCTCAGTTGTATCTGACTGTTTGTGACCCCATGATCTCTAGCCAACCAGGCTCCTCTGTCCAAGGAATTTTCCAGGCAAGAATACTGGAGCGGGTAGGGTTGCCATTTCCTACTCCAGGGCATCTTCCTGACCCAGGGATTGAACCCGAGTCTCTTGCATCTCCTGCATTGACAGGCAGATTCTTTGCCACTGTGCCACCTGGGAAGCCCATCTTTAAATCTCACATGAACTTCACAACGGTCAAGTGCATCCTGGAGAAGTTAACTAGCTTGCTTATATCACAGCTGGTAAGTAGAAGAGCTGGGGTTTGAACCCCTTGTGATGCTGAGACCAAGACTTGCCCCACCCACCACAACTGCCTGCCCTGCGGAACTGTGTGTGTTCCTATGCATCATAGTGCCTTATACTTCAGAGTCCTTCCACATCAGTCACCTCCTTTGATCCTCACAGCAGGGCAGCATATGAGGAAGAGCTGGGTTTATTCTGGGCCTTTCAGAGGCACCAGCTTATTGGGGGACATAGCTTTGAGCCACTTGCCAGTTTATGTGTGAGGAGAACATTGTGACTCCTGGAGAAAATGCAAAAGTCTCTCTCTCTCTCTCTCTCTCTCTCTCACACACACACACACACACACACACACACACATGTACAGACATCAAAATAAAAAGATGAAAAATATACAGAGCCAACAAGACAATAATAGAAAGCTGCAAACCTGAGGAATTTTCGCTGTCACTGTGTCTCCCTCATTGCCAAATATCAGATGTTCTTTCCTACGCTGCAAAAAGGATGAAGCTGAAGCTCCAGTACTTTGGCTGCCTGATGCGATGAGCCGACTCATTAGACGATACCTTGATGTTGGGAAAGATGGAGGGCAGGAGAAGAAGGGGGCGGCAGAGGATGAGATGGTTGGATGGTATCATCAACTCAATGGACATGAGTTTGAACAAACTCCAGGAGATAGTGAAGGACAGGGAAGCCTGGCATGCTGCAATCCATGGGGTTACAAAAAGTCAGATGTGACTGAGCAACTGAACAACAATAAGATATCCTTTCCTAGGTTCCAGAAAAGTGATAGAAAATGCTGACAGGTTCACTGGGTGCCTCTGTTTCCTCCAGCTAATCATCAGGCCCAGGTTGGGCATCTATAGCTATCCCGTGCTTGGCATCAATCAGGGCGGGTCTTCCTGCCTCTTCCCTGGTCCACCGGGTCTGTCTTACTTCCATGCCATCACTTGTCTCCTTCAGGTAGAAGAACTGAGATGGAATAAGGATACAGTTACTGAGTTTTGCAGACACAGGGCAGTTTTGTTTCTATGTGGATTGTGAGGTGCAAGTGTGTGTTTGTGCCTGTGGACCCACACACACACACACACACAGAGATGCCTCTGCGCTCAGTAATCTGGAGCAGGGTCTGCCATCTTGTGCATGGATCATTCGTATTAGCAGTTCTGAGGAAGCTTTATTATTTTAAACCTCTTTTATGATATTTCCTGTGATTGACAGTCACTGTCATATTTCTGCCTGATACGCATTGAGCCTGGAGTTGTTGACTTGGCTTAGAGATGTGTCACCTGGCTGTCTAGCATGGCTCACCTGCATCGAGCCCCACACTGTTCATTTCAGCTGGCCTGCTTCCATCAAGAGAAGGCAGGAGCTCAGGAGCCAGATGGGATGGGCAGTAATCACGGTCACTCTTTCTCTGGGGCTGTGTCTCCTCTAAGAACAGGCTTCCCCACGCACCCTGTCGCTAATGACAGGGAGGACATGGCAGCGCTAGTGAGACTTTAAGAAGAGATTGCAGAGATGTCTAATTCATCTTTCACATGAAAGATTTGCAGTGACCTTACAAGTAGTCATCAGCTATTCTTGGATACTTTCAGAGATGAGGCAATCACTGCATTCCAAGGCAGCTTGTTATCTACTGGCACCCAACTCAGCATGCAGGGAGATGGGAGGCGTGCTGAGCTAACCCAGGTGTGAACCTGGGTTCCACTCCTGACTCTCTTACCCGTAAGCTGGGACCTCAGGCGAGTGTCATTGGCTGTCTGGGTCTCAGTTTCCTCTGGTTGTAAAGTGGAAGGGGAGGGACTGTGTTTCAGATGGTGCTCCGAGCAGCTTGGGGTTTCTGGAAGGTTCTTCAGGGGCTGCAAAGAAGGTTGAAATGGGGGTTAAGTGTTGGCGGGGACACAGTCATGCTAAAAGAGAATTGTTATGATTTTGCATTTTGTGTTTTTAGCTTTGAATAAATGACTTTTATAGATAAGCACATTAAAAAACAATAGAAGTAGAGAACTCAAGGTTCTTTCTAGCTCTAATTTTTTATGGTCATGGAAATCTGTAAAAATTACCATGAGGTCTGTTTAGTAAAGTAATACTATTATAAATCTGTTTTACAAAAACAGTCCAAACCCCTCTTACAAGACAACCTTCCTACTGTCTCCCATCTTTTTAAAGTCCACAAGGGCAGGTTGTGATTATTGCATCAGAGCCAGAATATAGTGAACTGAAAGAGGTTTGTTCTGAAGTCCTCTTTCCTTACTTTCTTTTCTGTGTTACTTTCTTTCCTACTCCGAGACCCTCTCTGGCTTCCCGTTCTCCACAGACCATTGGACCCAGCCAGCTCTCACCTTGGGGAATCCTCTGATAACCTTACCCTGCTTATGAAGCATTAGCTGAGGATGTTTAAATAGCTTCCAAAATATTTGGCACTTTTGAAGCCTGAAAATCTAAACCTGTTCTCAAAAAATGAATGTCTAATGATGGAGTCTGAGGTTCTAAGATAAATTGCATCCCGGAAGTCATGGTGTGTGCACAGCCTCCTCTCAGCATCTTCAGCTTCCCCATCTCTTCCTCTGGGTGTGTTTGCCTTAGAGGTATATTTCCAATTTTGCCTCACAGAAGTGTTTCCAAAAGTAAATCCCCCAGAATACTAATCCTGAAGGCTCTGAGATAAAAGACTCTGCAGCCAAATGCCTTTGAGAGAATGCTGGGTATTATGTTTCTCTCTTTTAGATTCATGGTGCACCCTGATCTATTTCAGACTCTGAGAAATCCATCATGGAGGAGTCCCGGTTTATCTTGGTTTAATCCAGTGTTTCCCAGACTGTTTGACCACAGTATCCTGTTTTCCTAAGTATCAGCTGTTAACATCTCTCAGATCTGATGTTCCCTAGGACTCAGTGGGAGCACCGGTTCTTACTGTGGGTGATGTTGCTCTCTGGGGAACTTTTGATAAAGTCTGGAGATGTTTTGGGGCTGTTACAGCTAGTGGGGAGAGTGCTTCTGGCATCTACTGAGTAAATACCAGGGATGTTGCTGTTATACATCCTAAATGCACAGGCCAGTCACTCGCAATAAAGAGATATTTGGACTGAAATGTCCATAGGGTCGAGGAGGAGAAACTCTGTTCTAGAGATAGGCAGGGACAAGGTCTGTTTAAATGCAGGGCAAGACCCTGTAAAATCTGATACTCAGCCAGGCATTTTATGATGAGGGATGTTTACTGGACAATGCAGAAGGAGATGCACCCAGGTAATATTTCCCTAACACCACCGAACAAATCCAGAGCTGAGCACTCCTCCATGCCCAGAGGCGGCACTCGGCTCCCCCAGTCCCCCCGTGTGGGCAGAGATGAAAGACGCCTTCTCGCTCCTGAGCTTCTGGGAGCTGAGCTGACAGGGAGCATCACCTGTTCTTGTCCTCCCTTCCAGAACCGAGCGATTTAGCACCATTATAGGATGAGCCTATTTCCCCAGCTTGCAGATTGTGGTTTATTTATTTCTTTAATCTTGCTCCAAGCTTCTTTTCTTTTCTTGAACCGACAGGGCTTGGCTGCACTTTCTGGAGATGTTGACTTGGTGGAAGAAAATGTGCTTGCTGTCAAGCACAAGAGCATTCCTGGGACTGAGCTTCTTTAAGTCCCGGTGATTTATCTGTTTCCATAAAGCAGAGCAATGATGCTTGTTAGTCAGCAGAACTCACACCTGCAGCCTCCCCCGCTCAATCCCCCCCGCTCTCCCGCCCGCCAACCCCCTTCCACATCAGGGAGGGCAGAAGAGACTGCTTTCTGATTCTGTAAGTCAGTGAATAGCAAGCTCTTTGGGGATATGGATCCCTTTGAGAATCTAATGGAAACAAAGGAACTTCTTGCAGAAAAATGCATACAGATGCATATATACAATTTTGCATGTGATTTGAGGTGGTGCATGGTGATCTGTGCTTACAAACTCAGGATTTGACATGCTTCATTTTGGGGACACTCCTTAGAGATGGTGGCTACTTTCCTGGGTTTACATTGAGCCTCATCACTGGGATGTACAAGGAAAGGAGCACCTCAGTTCCTCACCTCAAAGAGCTGCTGTTCTTAGGGAATCATAATTAACAGAGTAAGTTAGTAGCTCCTAATGTTTTAGCTCATTCATTCATTCAACACATATTTATTTTGTTTCCAAGGAACTAAATACCTCCTACTGGGAAGTCAAAGATGAAAAAAACGCTCTTCTTTCTCTCAGCAATAGGGGATATAGGAAAGGGCACTGGTCTAAGGTCCAGCTGCTCGGATGGGAGAATTGTGCAGGGTTTGGCAGGGTCTGCTTGATGCCTGGTACTTGATTGTGAACTCACACTTGACCTGAGAAGCACTTTAAGAAATTGCCCCAAACCTTCCAGGGCCCCAGGGCAGCACTGCCCACTTTCCCTTAAGTGTCCTCTGCTACATTAAATCTACTTGAGTGACTTCCCATAGTTGTTATAGGCAGAGAACAGAGGACACAGGGTCTCACTTTGGAGTTTTAGAAATTGGCTCACCGATTATAGTCCACAGCCCCACAGCTCCTACCAATATATTTGGTAGAGGTTGAGGCTGTCTTTTCTGATCACATGTCCTTATTGATGGAGCTCACTGATACGTGAATCTTTGTAGAGGGAGAACTTTGCAGAAAGATGAACATCTTTGCAGTGAATCATGTTAATGCCAGTTACCTGTTTCCTGTATCGTTTGGGCTCCATAATGAATCTAATAAAATGACTAGCTTCCTTCTTTCTGGCTAGGACATGTACTCTAGGCATCCTGGGAGGAAGATGAGTTGGTCTGTTTGTTTGAGCCGGTGAGTACTTTGAACTCAGCTACAATGCAGCCTAGCCATCTGACACTCTCACAGGATAGGCAGGTTTCTTTTTCCAGAAACAATCTGTGTCTGCACAAGGTTGTGATGTTCTCACCTGAAGAGGGGCAGTGAAGTCCATAGCAGTTGGATTCAAAAGAAGAAATCACTTTTCCATAATTGGTACCTTTTCATTCTCTTTTTCAAAATGCCCAGCACCATTACTGCAGCTCTGAATCCCCAGTGAACTGCAGGGTAGGGAAAAAGACCACACAGAAATTACAGTTGTAAGCAGGTAATGAGCAGCAGCTACAAGCAGGAAGCTCTCTGCCTGTGAGAGTGGGGGTTACAATTACAGATTCACATGGCTCCATTTTCTGCTTTCAGTATAGCTGTCGACATCTCAAACTGAGAAGCCCATCACCGTGGCCTGGGCAGCTTCCTTGCAGCCCTTGTGTCAAGAGAGATTTATTATTCTTACAGGCTCTACTCATAGCAACTCCCTCCAGATGGGTCTTCGGAGGGAAGATTTTATTTTATTTCATTTTGCTAAGAACCACAGATCTGCAGAGACTTTGTTCTGTCTCTCGGGTGAGGCTCCTGAATCTGGGTGAAGAAGGTAGGGAAATTGAATCAGGCAGTAGCTGCATTGAAGGAAAATGAAAATGGAGGCAAAAGACCATTTCTTGCTGCATTGTGGGAACAGATGACTGGAACAATGACCATAATGTCCATCAGTTGGTAAATGACTAAATCAGTTATGGTTCATCCATAAAATAGAATACTATGCAGCTGTTAAAAGGAACGAGGAAGGTTTGTTTCCACTGATAAGGACTGATCTCCATGATATAGTTTTTTTTTTTAAAAGTTCAATACATTGTATATAGCATGTTACCATTGTATAAGAGCGATCTCTAAATATGTATCTTACATCTACAAGGGTGATTTCCGAGATGACTCACAAGAAATTTATAATAATTTTTGCCACTAAGGAAGGATTTTATTGAGAGACAGGGGAGGCAAGAGAGCTGGTTGTAGAAAATCCTTTTGTGCATCTGGATTTTTCCCCCCTATATGCATGTATTACTTTCTCAAAAATCACTTAAGGCTAAAAAATTATTTTCAAATCTAATAATGCTTAGCAAGTTTTGCTTTTGGAAGGGTGAGCAAATTGTGGTTTGAATGTGACTAACCAAAGCTACCCAGAAATGAAAAGTTGTCTCCAGGAATTCCCGTTATTGTGTGGGATTTATCACTGCTAATGATAAGCAAGAACTAGAACCTGTCAGGTGAGGTACGATTTTACCTTCATTTATGGGAATGAATTGAGTACATTATGGTCCACATAAATTGCATTTATACCACACCAATTTGTTATGTGCCATTTATTAGAAGCTCAAGCTTCCTTCCTAATGACATCATTGTTTCCACCACCCGGGCTCACTGCCTCTTTTGTCCTGCTGTTTTTCAGCAGGTGTAGGGTGGGTGGTTTATTTCTTGGGAGCTCTCAGAGTTTCTTTCCTGTGAATCAGGGGTCAAAGAGGTAATGCAAATGTTTGGAATGGCCAAGTGGGAGGCAGTAGAAGTGGTTAGGTCTTTGGCAACCAGAGAGGCATGCCCCTCTTGGATCAAATTCAGCTTGAAGAAAATCTGCAGGTCATATCTTGTTCAAGGTCTGTGGGTTTCTACATTCCCTTTGCTAGTGATTGACAGAAGCCTTTCTAGTCAGAAAGCATCCTCCTGGGTGTTGGTATAGAGTTTATAGAGGAAGGTTGACCAGATATCTAGGAAGCAATCTGATTTCTGCCTGTCTGTGCATTCTGCCCAAGTTATTGAAAAGGCATCTTGTTCTTGTATTGGACACCAGATTTCTAGAGATTGAGGGCGCATTCATCTTTTAATCAGGGCAGAGATGAACATATCTTGCCCTGAGCTGTTCTTCAGAAACTTACATCATGTAGGGTTTTACTGGTTTAAAACATTGCAACTGGGAGGCTTTCTTCTCAGGTTATATTTCTGTGACAGGAAGTGAAAACTAGAAC